ATGGATTCTAAATTCTGACGTAGATATGTATTTTTTGTCCTTTCTTCGTTTTTGTTTTTTTGGTTTTTTGCCTTGGCCTTTAAGTCAATAAACAAGACCAAGGAATCAGACTATCTTTACTTCATATATTTATTGTAATTGTTCTCAGGTTTGAGTATCTCAATACTTCATCCAGCACTGTTTTCAATGCAGGTCTTTTGTGTAGTGAAGGTTCCAAGACCTCACATATCTGAGAATATTTTTATCATTCCCTCCTATTTAAACTTATGCGGTTGGCTATAAAATTCTAGTTTGCCCTTTAACACTCTGAAAACACTCTCGTCTTCTTGCATTTAGTGATGCTGTTGAAAACTCTGAAGTCAATTTAGTTTTGCTCCTTTGTATATGACCTTTTCTGAGGCCCCCACGATTTTCTTTTGCTTTGATTTCCTTAAATTTGACTGTAACGTATCTAAGAGTCAGATTCCTTATCTCTCATCCTTAGCACTGTAAGGGACCTCTGAATCTGAGGTATTTCTTTTTTTTTTTTTTTTTTATTGTAAAGGAGAGAATTACTCCATTATTTCTTCAATACTTCCTTTTTATTTTTCTCAAAGACTTTTATCAGATGTCAGTACCTCTATGCCTACTCTTATCTTTTCATTTATATTTTTAATTTGTTCTAGATTTTCTCCTTCTAAAATTCTAATTCATTCCTCAGTTGTATCCATTCTGTTATTTATTCTATCTGTGATTCCATAACATTACACATGGAATAAAAAACAGAATGTATACAGCTGTTTTGAGACAGGGTCTCACTCTGTCACCCAGGCTGGACTGCAGTGCCGTGATCAAGGCTCACTGGAACCTCGACCTCCCCAACTCAAGCAAGCCTCCCACCCTGGCCTCTGGAGTAGCTGGGACTACAGGCATTTACCACCAAACCCAGCTAGTTTTTTTTACGTTGCCCAGGCTGGTCTCAAACTCTGAGCAAAAGCAATCCTTCTCAGCCTCCCAAAGTGCTGGGATTACAGGCACGAGCCACCATGCCCGGCCAGTGTTCTTTATTTCAACCACTGTATTTTTCATGTCTACTATTTCTGTTTGGTTCTCTCGGTCTCCACTTATATTTTTATTTCAAATTGCCAACATATTCCCTTATTTCTTTTAGGATGATTATCAGTCTACCTATAAACTCTTAGTCCATTTGTTCTAATATTTATTTCAATGAAGTTTGCATGTTTTCTCTTAAAATATCTTTGCTTATCTGTTATTTTTACCCAGAAGACAGATATCAGTTATTGTGACAAGCAAATATAGGTGAAATCCAGACTCTAGTCCTTATCAGTAAAGTAGAAAGCCATAATCACTCTCCATCTCACATAATCACTACTCATATCAGGGCTTCAACTTTCATTTCCCAGGCAGAAGCAGCATTATGATTGGAATCCGGCAAGACCTAAGGATTAAGAGGGTAAGCCACAGAGAAGCGATTGCCTGAAGTCAGTCACCACCTGTTTTCCCCCTACTCTTCACAAGTATGGGCTTCTCTTATACCCTGATTAACTCTTGAGAGAAGTGGACTAGGGCTCTGAGTTACGGCAGATGTGGAAAAGGGTAATTCCAAGATAATGAAGCAGGGGAGAAACTAGAGCAATATTTCAATAGTTGCCTTGCCCAATGGTTTTATTCTCCCACAGCCATGCCTGGCTAACTGCTGTTTCAGGTCAGCTGCTGCCTTCCACCTCCTACCCCCAACTTCCATCCAGTTTGAAACTGACCATGTGTGTTTCTCCAGTATTTTCCCTTTATAGTTCCTTCAAGAATGATTTTCAGGAAGAGAGCCCCAGCCATGGTGGTTAAGTACCTTCGTAGGCACAGGAATTGACCACTTGGCAACTTTGAAGAATTTAAACAAAAATAAAGGTTTCTTACATTACTTTAACACCCAACACAAAGTTCTGTATCATTAAAAAGATACTGATTTAAGGGCCATGGAAATTCAGAGCAGAAAAAACTACTTTTGACTGCCAGGCAGAGGAGGAATCAGAGAGAGGGAAAATAGGAGTGGAAGGACTTTAAAATGGGAGCATACTGCACAAGTTGGTGAAGATCTACTTTTAATAGCTTTAAAAAAATACATATATACCAAAAAGAATGGGAGAGAAAACATTATAAGCAATGGCACTGTCAAGATTTTATGCGAAAAATGAAGTCAGTTGAAATTCCTTTTGAATACACCAGTTACATACTGTCACCCGCCACCCTCCTTTTTTTTTTTTTTTTGAAAGAGATGGGGCTTTTCCATATTGGTCAGGCTGGTCTTGAACTCCCGACCTCAGGTGATCCACACATCTGGGCCTCCCAAAGTGCTGGGATTACAGGCATGAGCCACCGTACCCCCTAGCCTTTTTTTCTTTTTTTTGGAGACAGAGTCTCTCTGTAGCCCAGGCTGGAGTACAGCGGCAGGATCTTCGCTCGCTGCAACTTCCACCTCCCAGGTTCAGGCAATTCTTCTGCCTCAGCCTCCCACATAGCTGGGAATACAGTCGCATGTCACCAGGCCCAGCTAATTTTTTTTTCATTTTTAGTACAGATGGGATTTCACCATATTGCCCCGGCTGGGCTTGAACTCCTGACTTCGTGATCTGCCTGCCTTGGCCTCCCAAGTTACCTGCTTTTAAAAGAGAAAACTATTTGGCTTAAAGAAGTCAAATAACTTGGCAAGTTTTTCCATATAAGTGGAAAAACTTACACTTTTCCACTATAATATGCTGCTGTTTAGTAGTAACATTCAGTTGCTCACACCAGAAAGTTTAATCCTCAATCTCTCCCTTTGCCTCTATTATCACATCCATAACCCAATCTTGTAGATTTATACTTCCCAAATAACTCAAAACCTTCCCTTCTCTCCATCTGCATGACCACTTCCCCAAACCAAAAAGTGTTATTTCTTGCTTGGGTCACTGCAATAAATTCTATCCTAGTCTTTCTAAATCCCACTGAAACTGTACACTACAAAAAAATACTTTTTTTTTTTTTTTTTTGGGACGAAGTTGTGCTCTTCTTGCCCAGGTTGGAATGCAATGGCATGATCTTGGCTCACCACAACCTCCACGTACCAGGTTCAAGTGATTCTCCTGCCTTAGCCTCCCTCCCAAGTAGCTGGGATTACAGAAAGGCACCACCAAAGGCTGGCTAAGTTTGTATTTTTAACAGAGATGGGGATTCTCCATATTGGTCAGGCTGGTCTCGAACTCTCGACCTCAGGTGATCTACCCGCCTCAACCTCCCAAAGTGCTGGTATTACAGGCATGCACCAACTCATCCAGCCTGCCAAAAGCATTTTTTAAAGAAAAAAAATTCTGACCAAGCACAGTGGCTCACACCTGTAATCCTAGCACTTTGGGAGGCCAATATGGGTAGATCACAAGGTCAGGAGTTCAAGACCAGTCTGACCACAATGGTAAAACCTCACCTCTACTAAAAATACAAAAATTATCCAGGCATGGTGGCACATGCCCACTTTTTTTGAGACTCTGTCTCAATAAAAAGGAAAAACAAACAAACAAAAAAATCCTATAGTGTCAGGGCCTGGTCAACAGCTTGCTACTGCTGTAAGATGAAACACATGGTCTAGCGCCTCAGCACCTTTTCAGTCTTACCTTGCTCTATTCAGTCTTAAGCCTCAGCCACACTGATCTTTCAGTTTTAAAACAGGGCCTTTGCACACATTGTTCCTTCATTTGGAGCACTGTGAGTTTTGCAGAAAACTGATTCATCCTAAACCTTAGTCTCAGGTTAAATGTCGCCTATTCAACAGTCATCAAGAGATGCCAGGCCGGGAGCAGTGGCTCACGCCTGTAATCCCAGCACTTTGGGAGGCCGAGGCGGGCAGATCACTTGAGGCCATGAGTTCCAGAGCCGCCTGGCCAACATAGTGAAACCCCCTCACTACTGAAAATACAAAAATTAGGGCTGGCTGCGGTCGATCACGCCTGTAATCCCAGAACTTTGTGAGGCCGAGGCGGGCAGATCACGAGGTCAGGAGCTCGAGACCAGCCTGATCAACAAGGTGAAACTCCGTCTCTGGTAAAAATACCAAAAAAAAAAAAAAAAAAAATTACCTGGGTGCAGTGGCGTGCGCCAGTATTCCCAGCTACTCCCGAGGCTGAGGCAGGAGAATCGCTTGAGCCAGGGAGGTGGAGGTTGCAGTGAGCGGATATCGCGCCACTGCACTCCGGCCAGGGTGACAGAGTGAGACTCCGTCTCAAAACACATACACACGTTTCTCTGAGCCCTATCTCGATACTATCTGGAAGTTTTGGTGTGGCTCCAACACGAGCATTTTCAAACAAGCACTCAAGTGCCTCTAAGGCAGACCTTCCGCAGCCCTTAAAAACTTAACACACGTCGGCCGGGCGCGGTGGCTCACGCCTGTAATCCCAGCACTTTGGGAG